TTCCTTTGCATATCCTTTCCATATCTCCAAAGTGAGATTTGTAAATTCAGCAAGGGCACTAATTAGATGATTGCTAATCTCATGACCACAAAGACACACAAGGGCAGCATGCCTATTGAGAAATAAGTTACCGGCAATTGGAAATTATTGGTCTTAGCAAACATTATTACTCATGCAAATTCAACTTGATTGGCACCTTACCCATTTGTTTGTTGATAAATATCGTTAATGACAGCTTCCTCAATATTTATTTCCCACTCTCTTGCAAAATCGTCATAAATTTCCTGTACTTGGCTCTTAGTAAGCATAGGATTTCTGAATGCCCACATGTTATTAAATGGTGATGTAGTACTCGTTGAGTCTAAATGCTGGATACTGAAAGTACCAATTACAACGATGGTGTAAATGATGAAGGTTCCAGGTTGGCTATTTTTGATGCCTTGTAAAATATCCAAGAAATTGTTTAGCTGATTTTCAGCCAACCCGCGTATTCTATCAAACTCGTCTATGAAGAGTATAATGCGAGGAAGACTGTCATAATCGGTATCATCGTTTCCCCAGCGACCTCGTGCAAAATAAGCAAGAAAATCCTCAGAAGATGTAATATTTCTGCATCCATCAAAGTATTTTTTGGGACCACCGCGTTGGAGACATTGACCAAACGATGACCAAAAATTCTCATTTGTTGCAACATGCTCTAAAGTTATGCTAAATAAAGGAAAGGCAATTAGTAGTTAACAAAAACCTATGCACATTATTAACAGCTGATCTTACAAGTTGCAAATATAGCCACGTTTTATTAGATATTTGATAATTGTATTCACTCGTGTGGACTTGCCAGAGGCTCGTGGCCCATACAGAGCAACAAAATGGCGGTCGCAAATATTTTCGATCATTGGAATACTAGATTTCAGTGGATTTGCAAAGTAATATCTTAAATAATCATCTGAATGCATGGCATTATTAACCATCCACCTCTTCCTTTTCATAGGAGGCATAGCTAAACATGTAGACCCAATCATAAGCGGTTAAGGCATTGTTAATGATTTAAAGCAATACTATATATTCTTACATAGCTCCATATTTAGTTCTTCAGCTGACTGTGATCTTGTCCTCACCACCCCTAATGAGAGTTATGGAAGAGACATAAAGAGTAACAATCAATAGCAATCATCACATGTAAGCAGGGGAAAGGGAAAGGTAAAAACAAAGGAG